CGATAACTAACAGTATAACAGTATAGAATAATTACTTATGTCTGGTAGATAGGGGTAGGAATGGGAGGGAAACCAAAGGAAAACAATGCATTTGGTCTAAATTCGAACTGCCGGGTTAGGTAAAAGGCCTAAAGTCAATGGTGATACCTACAGGCAGACAATCATCAAACCAAATCACAATCAACTAGGGCCGCTTTATGGAATGAAAAACCTGGTAGTAAACTTTCCTATATTGAAATGAATATGAATAAATATTATATTTAATTTCCCCTAAACTTGCCTTCCAGAAGGCATTTTTCTCCTGATGAGGATACAAACTCGGCCCCGATTGAGCTTCCTCAGCATCTAACTGGATTGTTTGCCTCAAGCATAAATATATTATCATTAAACCACAGCCAGGATGATAATGGGTCACATGACAAGTGCGGATATTTAGATAATCCTGTTGTCACAATTCACTACAGTGAGCTTCAATAAGAGTCAAAATTATTGGTACCATATAGAATAGAATTAAAACGTAAATATGGAAGGAATAGTCATTAACTTTCAACTACTTAGCTCGAAAATTAACTTCTTAGCTCAATAATACAAAAAGAAACACAGATAAACTTCAATCTGTTTTTCATTTGTCACATAATGAGGCAATAAAAACATCAAAGAACCCGCATTTTCAAGCTTCCTTATTTAAGCACATAAATTTCACCCAATTATATCTCAGATATTAAGTTTGCTGTTATTAACTCAATGAATAAGCAACAGGAGAAATTCCGTCTGCTGCATAGGACTAGTTCACCTTTATTAGTAAAGCTATACAGATGGAATAGCAAAATGAAGCATACGCCATATTTTGAAAATGGTATTAGGATGTGAGATTAGTGAGTTTAGATGCTTTTAAAAGATTCTAAGTTGAAAATATGCTGAGTATAGTGAATAGATTGTCAAGTATTTAAAAGAACATCAAGGCATTGCCTGAAATTAATGTTTAAAAAATGAGCTAAATAATTATTTAAATGTGATATATAACCGTAAATAGTTTAGTATTGTATATGCACATTTGTGAAGGCAATCAGTGAATGATTGCTGCAAAACAGAACACAGAAATTGAATGTCGAAATTCGCTCAGGCACGAAGCAAAAAATATGATGGAATAGCAATCCGCAATTCATGTAGTGTCCAAATTTAAATTTAAATATTAATAGAAAACATAAGACTTACTGCGACGGTGGTGCCATACTTTCCGGTACCCCCTTCAAGGACGGTGTTGGAAAAGCTAATGAAATTGGCTGCCCAAAAACAAATAACGATCAAAAACTGCAATACGCGAAAGTTCATACTAATTATTGGTAACTAGGTTTAAGGATAAATATATTTTAAATTAAATATACCGAAACACCCCAGGTTGATACTCCCATGATTGATGTCAGTATAAAGATAATAATGCATATTATTTCGCCTTCTGTCACATCGATTCTACCGAAATATAAAGATAAAAAGACTTACATTCCAAAATGTAAACTACCCGTTACATAGGCCTGCCAATGAGCAATGTAAAATAGCGAAACCAGGCAGAAAAATTCAATGAACATAAGTATGGGATATTCTCCCATACCAAAAGCAATGAAGGCGGAGATTGGTACGAAGACTAAATCCAATGAGAGCAAAAAAAAAGCTTACGCATTGAAATTGAGTCACATCCATGATCAAAAAGTTCTCCTAAAGGTGACGATGAATTTGTTCTTCTGGCATGTTTCCCATCGAGGGCATCGAGAGTTTGATATACAAAAACATTGACGGCTGCAAAGATTAAGGCCAAAGAAGGTACCTATGGAATCAACTTAAAAATGCGTTACTTCTGATTTCGCATCCTGACTGCAAATGACTAGAGCAACTGTGCCCAGTATGTTGGTAATCAGACCGACCAGAGTCAGGGTATTTGGGGCCAGACACGAAGGAATATAGACAACAATTGTATTCCAAAATTTCTGCAAAATAGGCTCACTAAGTGATACTCCAGAACAGCTGTACTTGTGCTCACAAAGTCTTTTTAGTTGATCCAGTCGAAGCGGAGAACACGGGGAATTGTCCCGCATATCTAGTTTTGGAGTGAGCGCCCTAGAATACAGAGCGAATTGAGATCATCAGCTGGGTAATATATATATATATATATAT